AGACCATGAATTCTCTGAAGAAGGAGGTAGAATATTTTTTGGAATTTTCATAGTTTACGATTTTTTATATGTCATCATCATGAAATCAGTTTTCTATTGTCCTTTATTCTGCACTTTTTACCTATTATTCTCTATTCTGTAAACCCCACCCAGACCCTCATCTATAGTTTGCTGTACAGATTTGTGTGGGCTGCTGATTGTGTTTTCTCTTTGGTCATGATTTTCCATTTTACTTTGACTTTTGGTTTATTTTCCCTTTTTATATATAGGTTAACTTTAACTTGGCATGAATAATTTATATTATCATTTTAACTTTTCAAATTAAATGAAATAAATGCAGAAGGAACATGATGTAATGGCCTAAAATAATAGAAAAAAATCACCTATTTTTTAGAAAAGGAAAAAGAATTTGAAGATCAAATTAAACACAGTTACTTTGAAGCAGCTATTAGTATTAAGGGATGGGAACCCGGGTATTAATGCTCAAGCAAATCCAGTTTCTTGTCAAAATATCTATAAAACTAACTTATGAATATTTACAATTTTACTACATAATTTAATTCTGTTGACAAAATAAATAAGGAAACAAGAAAATAAGAACAGAAATATATATCAACTGGGAAAGTGTTAAATAGACAACTTTATGTTTATATAATTTTGAAAATTATCATGTGCATTAATTATTGTCCATGACGAACATTATAAATGCAAACCATATAATTTGATCAAAAAGCTAGCTCTATTAGAACACTACAAATGAAAATCAAAATATGAGTTTATATCAATGAGATGAACATACTGACCAACTTTTCACAATCATTGAAAGATTGCAATAATTTAAATACATAATGAATAGTAATAATTTCTGGATTTACATTATATACTTGTATTATGCCCGCATGCACTTGAAAGGTGACAGAACCATTTATATTAATTCCCCTTGAAGATAGCTCTTTATGTATTATAGTAGATGTACCTAAAACACAACATAAATATTATTTCCTGCGATGTACGTGTGATCTCCAGACCAAGGATCCCGCTTACAAGACTTACAAATGAACATATATTTATCAAAAATAGTTCTTGAAGATTTAGTCATATCAAAAGTAAGATCACCCTTTGAAACTAGAAGGCTTGACATATTGAAACACACAAGTAATTCTAAGTACGAATTAGAAAACTATATTATGGTCAGAAAAATAAATATTTATGCATAAAAGTTCATCCATCTGTCATGCTCACCTTGCGGTATTTAAGGAATGACTAATATTTTTTCTGTCTATGAAGAAATAACATCAAAAATGTGGTGCAAACTGAATAACCCACGTAGTGCGTTATATTAAATTGTGCACCACATTTTTTATGTAATTTCGAATAGACAAAACATATTACAGTTATCCCTTACAATTTAATTCTAAATTCAATTTTTAAGGAGTAAATCATGAAAAAACGTTGATGACGTCACGGTCACATGGCAAAATTATGTCTATGAGCTAATAGACAAAAACTTTCAGCCAATGAGAAGACGTGATACATCCAAAATTAAATTGTATAAAAAATATACCATACTAGTATCACCCTCACGTTGTTAGTCAATCACTCAGTATATTAGTACTCAGTATCAATTTGATATGAATAATATGTATGTACCAGTTTGTGTTCACTGAACGCTTAGTGTATGCAACACCACATCCAAAATATATTTTTTTTTATGAATAAGTACTTTTATCAGTATTGACACTATCGTGTACATTTAATTAAAATCGTTGAAATTGAACTAACAAAAAAAAAGACTTCACAAAAACAGCCACTTCAACAAGATGAAATATCAATAATTAACAGCATTGGATCACTGCAAACAATAATGTACTAGTATACTATTTAATTATTAATTCCATTCTCAATTTTAATTTTAGTATACTAGTTCAGCGAAATTGACGCCACACTAAATCTCCGAAACATAAATGAACAAAAATTAAAAAAACACACAAGACTAACAAAGGCTAGAGGTTCCTGGCTTGCGACAGGCGCATAAATGCGACGGGTTTTACCATGTTTTGTGAGTTCTCAACCCTATATATCTAGCCAATATGGAATAAACGAAGACACAGCAATACGCACAGTTAAACTCAGTTTAGCAGAAGTCCGACTCCGATTTTAGAATAGGAAACAGAAGAAACTAAGCAAAATGACAATAATCAACATAAATTAACAAAGTACTACTAGCAGTTACTGACATGCCAGCTCCAGACCTCAATTAAACTGATCGAAAGATTATGTCTTCATCATATAAAAGTCAAGCAAATCCCTCCAGTTAGGGGTTTAGTATCATGCCATCATAAATTATACGATAAGGTAAATTTATGAAGGTAAATCCTGAAAAGCGCTTTGGACACATAAAATTTATAACGTTGTTTTCATTCTTATGGGGAACACTATTTGTGGGTCAATGATATTTTATATGAAGTTGTATTACGGGTAATAGTTATCAAAGGTACCAGGCTTATAATTTTGATACGCCAGACGCGCGTTTCGTCTACATTAGACTCATCAGTGACGCTCAAATCAAAATAGTTAAAAAGCCAAACAAGTATAAAGTTGAAGAGCATTGAGGACCCAAAATTCCAATAAAGTTGTGCCAAATACAGCTAAGGTAATCTATGCCTGGGATCAGAAAATCCTTAGTATTTCGAATAATTTTTACTTTTGCAAACAGTTAATTTATAAAAAAATGACCATATAATTGATATTCATGTCAACACCGAAGTGCTGACTACTGGGCTGGTGATACCCTCGGGGACGAAAGCAATGGCATCGACCCAGTGGTGTTAATAGTTATCAAAGGTACCAGGCTTATGATTTTGATATCATTGGCACATTTCATTTCCAGTCATTGTCTATTGACTTTTAAACTTTTGCTCAATTACATGTTAGTTAATGATTATGTCAGTTTATGGTGAACCACATATGGTTAGTCATTGATATTAGGTATACAGTTGTATTAGTATATTGGCACATCTCTAATAACTGTGGATATTTTATGGTCCTACCCCCTCAGTCATGTTTCTTCGTTTGTCTTTGGAACTTTTAAATAGTTTACAATTTAATTTGTGATTAGCTCAGTTTACATGTTTCAGTATTGCAATTCTAATTTCAACATTTGCATTATACTATCCAAAATATTATACGAGCGAGACATATCTCTGTGTCAACACTTTATTTTGGTATATATTTTACATATATTAATTTATATGTGTCAATTGTTCCTATGTTTTTTTTTATTTTATTTTTGTTATTTGGATAGATTTCAGCGATATTTTATCTTTTTCATTAATATCTGTAAAGTCTATATTATCTACCGTGTTAAATCCCCCCTTTTTTTATATAATTTTTTTTACCTTCATTATATTGATTTATGTAACATCTATCTGAGAAAATAAGAACTTTCTTGAGAAAACCTCTTTTTCTAAGATAAACATTAATTTTATCTGTAATATTCATGTCTATCATGTCTTTAATATCTCTCAGAGCTGCTTTCAGAAAATCCCTTTCCATTATCTTTTTATCTTTTTATATGTGTTTTATTGACCTTTCTGTTAGATTTCCATCTATTTTATAAGTGTTTTATTGACCTTTATGAAGTCTTGGTCCTTAATTTATGTATTCTTTATTTTATTTTGTTTATGCCATCATTATCCTTTCTTTATTTTGTTTACCCATTATACTCTATTATTTATATTTCAGCAGCTCATTATTCTGTATTCTTTATTTCTTTGGTCTGCTTTTCTCTAATCTATTTTTTTGGACTGTTTTTCTCTATTCTTTACATTTTGCCCTTTATTCTGGACTTTTTATCCACTATTCTCTATGTCATATGATCAGACTGTTTCTGAATCCCTTTTGGGATTCTGAGTACAGAGCGATTTTCTGATTTGGCCGCCTCAGACGGCCAAATCAGAAAATCGCTCAGGACTCAGAATCCCAAAAGGGATTAACTGTTTCTCATATACTATAGGCAATACATCAGCTGTATGGTATTATTGTAACCGAGGGGTTGAAGGACTCAGACAGGTAAAGTGAAAACAAACAAATCAAGGTACACTCAATCGGCTGTTAAACACTTACAATCTGTGTATTTTATCTATGGTGATAACTTGTACTAGATAAAAGCAATACAAAATTTTAAGGAGTTCTATAACTGATTACACACACAAGGAAGTAGAATAACGCAGACAAATTAGAATTTTCCAAATCCGTTATGGCCTGTGTAGGACAGTTTTCAGTTTCCTGTAGCCTTTGTGAGGAGGACACCGGAATAGAATGGAAGTGCTTAAACTGTGACATGCTCATGTGTGACAAGTGTAAAGAGAAAATTCATGTGAAATTCAAATTTGCCAAGGATCACAAAGTTGTTTCTATTCATGAGGTTGGACTTCATGCAGAAGAAATAGATTTTTCCCATCTAAGTTGCAAAAACCACATTAGACAATCATGTGTGATGTTTTGCACATCATGTGACTGTTTAGTATGTCCACTTTGTATCTCTGAAATCCATAATGGCCATGGTTTGGTAGCCATCATAGAGGGATATGAAATCAAGATCGACATCTTGAAGACGGTCCAAATGAATATTAGAACTCATATTGATGAGCTGCAGAAAAGAAAAGCAGAAATGAAGGATGTTGATAGGAATGAACTTTACAACTTTGAAAATACTATGAAAAGAATTAAAGATCAGAATGTCTTACTAAAGAAGGAAGTCGATCTACATACTGAAAAATTTGACACCGAGTTAATTAAATAGTGGGAAGATTTACATATGTATACCGAAAAGGAACAAACAGAAGCAAACTTGCTGATTGGAAGTTTGGAATCTAAAAACTTAAAAGTAGATGATATTATCCAATCCATGGATGCCAAAAAAGTCTTTGTGGATGGTTCGGGTTTAGTAAAATCAATGGAGGAAGCGGTTACATCACCTTGCACGAAGTTCGATTTCTTCCTGGACAAATAACTGCATATAATATTGGTTCATTAGAAAAAGTTTCTACAAAGGATGAAATCAAAATTATTAACAATTTGACACTCAAATCTCAAACATATTTTATATGGCAATGGCAGCCGGTTCAGAGGAAGCACTGTGGATGACTGACCAGAAGGTATTGCAGAAAGTAAAAATAGAAGGGAAGAGTTTGAAGATAATTACCCAAAAAGACATTAAAATTTATGGTATAGCTATTACTCCATCATGTCCATTCAAAGATCTCCTTTTGGTTAAAGGACATAGACTTAAGCAGATCAGTGACCAAACAAGTGAAGTGACCAAATCTAAGTATGAGGTCAAGGGTTTAAAGCTATCAACTGTTCATGTAAACTCGGATGGAAAAGTCACTGTTGGTGCTTACAGTGGGGAATTAGTTTACCAAGCAGTGGGAAGACGGGTTGTGATTATAATGGATAGAAATGGGAAACTTGAAACTACTTTTGAATATGACAGACAAGGCAATCCTATATTTACACATGTTAAGAATATAACCAGAACAAAAAATGGTAATACCTGTGTAGTGGACAAGTTATCTGAAGATAAGAGAGGCAGAGTAATAATACTGAGTGAGGATGGAGATGTTATGAATATCTTCAATGGCCATCCAGAAGAAAACACAGACAAAATTCCTTTCAGACCAATTCGTGCAATCACTACTCCATCTGACAATATTGTTGTATCAAACCAGAATAATGATTTTTTATTTGTTCTAAACAGTTCTGGAAATTTAATTAGATGGTGTGACATGAAAAAGATTGGACTATTTAATATATTCTCTCTTTGTATTTCTGAATCTGGACGTATTTTCATAGGATGTGCAACACATAAAGGCAGCAGTGATAATGCCAAAATATATGAAGTGAATACTTTGTGAGGTAAAACATTTCAGTTCATGTGAGGAAAGTCAGATCCTTTAATACTAGTTCAGATATCAGAGACAGTGTTAGACTTTGTCGTAATTGCCTTGTGAAGTAAATATGCTTTAATTAATGGTTATAATATAAAAATAGTTAAAGATGTCGGGTAAATATTAAAGGGACATAAACTTAAATCAATCAAAAATGGACGTTTGAAGTTCATCTCATAGAAGTCATGCAAATATAACCATAACCTTTTAAAAAAGAATTTTACTTCCACTCTAGTCCAGTAGTCGAAGGGACACTAGGTTTGCACTCTGTCCGTCCGTCTGTCTGTCTGTCTGTCCACCCGTCAGTCCGGCAAATCAGTTTTTCACACTTTTTTTCTTCGTGCTTTAAGATATTGATTTGATATTTAGTATATAGTTTTATCATGACAAGTTACAGATCAAGTTCTAATTTTGTTCCGGTCTGATGATTTCGTGCAGAGTAATGGCCCTTGGACTTAAAAAAATATAAGTAATCAGTTTTCCGCCTTTTTTTCCGTGATGCTTGAAGATATTGATTTGATATTTGGTATATAGTTTTACCATGACAAGTTACAGTTTAAGTTAAATTTGGGATGATTTTTCATGGTCCTTTGACTTAGAAAATTCACCCAAATAATCAGTTTTCCACACTTTTTTGTTATGCTTGAACATGTGGAAGATATTGATTTGATATTTGTTATAAAGTTTACACCATGACAAGTTATAGATTAAGTTATCATTTTGTTCACGTACAATGGATTTTTAACCGGTAGGGGACTATTATTTCCATGCAATACTCTCAGAGTGATTGTTGAAATAAACATTAAATTTACTGTTTCCTATACTATTAATTGCTTACATCCACTTCATTTTAACTTTGGTGGATAGTTGTCTCATTGGCAATCGTACCACATCTCCTTATTTTTATATTCAAAGATTTGACTGAATTCTATTTGGTTATTTTGGGGAAAAAATCATTCAAGAAAAAAGCTAAAATGGTTAAATCCAGATACTAGTATATCCATACCGTCGACTCTTAGAAAAATTTAATAGTATAAGAATGCGCAAATACAGAAAATAATTAATGGGAAACAAATATTATGATTGAAGGAATATATAATATTATAGGGGAAAAAATAGACAGGAGATATATTTGTATAAAGTTTTAAAGAATAAGATCCCAAAGGACATAAAAGTAAATATTGACATATCACTCTATTGATTGTGATAATCATTTTATCTTCAAGAAGGAGAAGCCACCAACTGGGCAATCCAAAACCATAATTAAGTGGAATAAAAAGAGAACACCATGACCCTATTCCGTAAAGCACCAATTGTTTAACTCCTGGTAATTATTTTCCTCGTCAACTTATACCTTATTGATATGAACTTTTCAAAAACATATGCCAAATTAGGGTTTAGACTCAGATATCATTGTTCACTTAACATTAAAATATGATAGTGTGAGCATGATGTTCTATAGACGCATATTCTTGTTCTCAAAGGTTTTAGAAGCAATTGTTCATAGTTTGAAATCCTTTGTTGTCCTTTAGTCATCATCATTCCATAAAATATTAAAACATATAATTTTCTAAAATCATTTGATCGAACAGAATTTTACTCACATGATGTTATTTCGCAGCTCCTTCTGTAGTTGATCTTGCCTATCAAAAGGGCCAGTGTTAGTTTTTTTCATCACTTGGTGTCCGTCGTCCGTTTACTTTTACAACAATCTCTGAATCTACTGAGCCAAATTGAACCAACTTAGCCTATTTTCTTGAAAACTATAAAAGATGGACAGAGCCTTTAAATGGCAAAAAAGATCAGCAAGACAAGATCTACAAATAACTAAAGTGGCCAACATTGTCCAGCGACTCCTTGTTGAAGTTATCGTCATTTATTGACCATCTTTTATCGTTTTATTTTAGTTTTGCTATTATCCTGAATATGATAATAGAAAAATAGAATATTTAGACAGCAAACATGATCAGCAAATACATGGCTGAAATCGTGGTTAGACTAGGTAGACCTAGCGATACACAGAAAACTAAAGGGCGGCATGACCTCCTCCTTACCCACACACACAAAAAAAAAACAGAAACAAGAACTTGAGATGAACTTTGATAATATGGAATTGTAAGCAATTCCTGCTCCGCTAGTTGCACTTGTCATGTAACTCATTACACATAAAACATTCTGTAATGTCTCAATATAAGAAAACGGGCAGGATGGTTTTTTACAAGCAGAACATATCCATGGTCATCTGTGACAAAGATGTAATCCATAACAGCTAACCGCGTCATGAATCCGTAAAACTTTCTATGGGTTGATTTCAACTTGTCTTGTACTAGCAACCGTTTTTTCTCGGAAATGCAAGCCCTGGTTCCTGGTAAGTTGTATGAAGTATGAGAATCGAGAGGTCTACTCTATATACAGGCATACAGGCGCTGATGCAATGTTGCTACACAGAAATTGAAAGTTCACAATTGACAAATTGAAATCACCTCTTATATTGTAAAGTCATCAGCCAACCCTCATTGTCTATTTCTAGATGAAAATCAATATATGAAGCAGACTTAACTGTATCTGTGGGACATGTATCCTGAATTAAAGTTAGATGATAATAATCAATGCTTTAAATCTAAAATGAACATTAAAAGAATAGCAAAAACTTGCGAGGGTAATGCAACCTTTCTTTTCGTAAAAACATCAAAATTGTCAGCTGAGAAATATAAAAAAAAATCATGGTTAATGCTAATATTGCTTACTACATGTAAATGAATGAAGACAATTGAAACCCACCAGCAAAAGTATACACCATATGGTACTAAATCCAAGGAAAATGAACTGATTTTGCTGGATTTACCTTCATCAGGACTATGCAGAGCTCAAATCATGGCAAGGCCATCAGGCATGACCTAAACTGAGAGTGAAACCCCTCTTTTAGGTATTACTTTGATATAATGATCTAGGAACATATGTTGTGAATACGGCAATAATCAAATTGTGTTTTCCTGTCAATAGTTATATACACCTGATGATTTTCAGAGGTTATCTTAAATGTGAAAAGGAAGAATGATATAATACAATGGATGTTCTTCCTCAAGAAAACAGAGGATAACATTCAGTCTGTATAATCTAGATTGATACTGTCACAATGATGCGGTGGTGTTTAATAGTTAACAATTAAGCTTTCTGAATGGTATGAAAAAAAAATGTCTGTAGTATTCAGAGTACTGCATTTGGATGATAAAACTCCCTCTATAGAGCAAAAATATGTCTAAGTTTCCCATTTTATTATTTTATCAGAATCTATTAAGCAGAGTTATAACCATACTTGGAAGTAGTAATGCGTGGAAGTTCATTTAGAAAATTGAACAACTTTCATAAATGCTGATTTAAAACATGGCAACAAGAGGCATATTTTGATATGAATATTATGTATCAATTTTTAAAATTCTTCTATGTGATTACCAGGTGAAATCTTTTACACTTTACAGCAATGAAAATTTGAACACAGAATTTATAAAGAATCAGCATTTCATGTCAACATGAGTAAATTAGGCTCATAGGCTCTATGGGAAATCACATGTTCATCTTTTTCTTTGATATTTCTACAATATTATAAACCTTACTTGACAGAATAAAAGGATGGCTAAAACATAAAACAGGTTTAACTCCAGATAAGTCTTGATCAAACATTATATATATGAAATCCTCCAGAGGACAGCATGATTTTTTTGTGGTTAAATGGTCAGGCAAAGGCCGAGGATCTGGATGAAAATATTCCCAATTAGACACTGACTTCACCTAACATTCGACAACACACTTTGTTTAATATGTAATCCTTGTGAACTAATCTCTAAGGTCAAGGGTTTTTGATCAATATCATGTCAACACATAAGACAAAACAGTCTGCTGGATGATTTGCCCTGGTAGGGTGACACGTTCTTGTCTTGAAAGGCAGGTCATATTTGCCACTAGAAGTTAAACACCAATCCATAATCATCGCCTATTAATTTTCAAGCTTAGATCAAGGGTTTCAGTCAAAACTGTCAACACAGTTAGGAGAGGGTTAATAACCTGCGGACATGTTTGACCCCACCAAGTTCTGTGAGTGCCTGTTCCAAGTTGGGAGCAGGTGGTTCAGTGGTTGTTGCTGTATATCATGTTTGTTTTTTCATTTCTTAAAAATTGTTTTACCTTTGTCATGTTGTGGCCTTTTATTGCTTACTATGCGGTATGGGTTTTGCTCATTGTTGAAGGCCGCATGATGACCTATAGTTGCTAACTTCTTAGTCATTTGGTCTCTGGCGGAAAACTGTCTAATGGGCAATCATTCCACATTTTCCTATTTTGATACGGCATAAACTTAAGAAATTGAACAAATTCCATCAAACTTTGTAAACATAATAATTATGAAGAGAGAAAAAAGTCTATTGCAGATTGAAGAAGAGGATAACTTTCATAGCAGCTTGTCAAACAAGTAAACATCTGTACACATTTATATTGAGTTATCACTTCACTCCACTTCGCAGTACTCAAGTTTAAACAAGAGGCTCTCAAGAGCTTGAATCGCTCACCTGTATTTCAGAGGAGAAGATTTTTAAATGTTAGCAAACTTGATGAACAAATTGTGTAAAATTGTCTTTAAAGGGCAATAACTCCTTAAGGTGTCAATTGACAATTTTGGTCAGATTAACTTTTTTGTAGATCTTACTTTGCTGAACATTATTGCAGCTTACAGTTTATATCTATCTATAATAATATTCAAGATAATAACTGCAAAATTTTGTTATAACTACCAATTTGGTGGCAGAAACCCAACAATGGGTTGTTCGATTCGTCTGATAATTTCATGGCCGACAGATCTTGACCAATTGAACAATTTTACCCGTGTCAGATTTGCTCTAAAAGCTTTAGTTTTTGAGATATAAGCCAAAAACTGCATTTGACCCTTATGTTCTATTTTTAGCCATGGCGGCCATGTTTGTCAATGAATCAAAACTTCGTATAAATATTATAAACAAGATACCCTAAGGAACATTTAGTTAAAGTTTGAAGGTAATTGGCCTAGTAGTTTCAGAGGAGAAGATTTTTAAATGTTAGCAAACTTGATGAACAAATTGTGTAAAATTGTCTTTAAAGGGCAATAACTCCTTTAAGGGTCAATTGACAATTATGGTCTTATTAACTTTTTTGTAGATCTTACTTTGCTGTTTACAGTTTATATCTATCTATAATAATATCCAAGATAATAACAAAAAACTGCAAAATTTCCTTAAAACTACCAATTTAGTGGCAGCAACCCAACAATGGGTTGTTCGATTCGTCTGAAAATTTCAGGGCTGATAGATCTTGACCAATTGAACAATTTTATCCCCCATGTCAGATTTGCTCTAAAAGCTTTACTTTTTAAGATATAAGCCAAAAACTGCATTTGACCCCTATGTTCTATTTTTAGCCATGGTGGTCATGTTTGTCGATGGATCAAAACTTCGGATACAATTTATAAACTAGACAACCTAAGGAACATTCAAATAAAGTTTTAAGGTATTTGGCCCAGTAGTTTCAGAAGAGAAGATTTTTGAAATAGTTTACGACGACAGACGAAGGACGACGACGGACGCCAAGTGATGGCATAAGCTCACATGAGGCCCTTCGGGCCCCGGTGAGCTAATAAAAAGAAATGTGGGTGTCAATGAGACTGCAACCCTACAACACAAAAGCATTAAACTTCAAAGTTCTGTTAACAGCAAATGATATAAAATATTTAAGAACTATTATATAAAACCATGGAAAAGGTTCCTGACTCAGGACAGGCACATGTGCATCTGGCAGGGATATAACTATTAGATATCTGACAAACATTATCACATTTGGTAGATCCAGAACATCTTGCCTTTTTGTATATGATCAAACTGAGGTTGAAAATCTTCTTGTGAAGGTGATAGGTGTAATGAAAATTAATGAAGATATGGCATGGTATATGTGTTCAGGTACTAAAATTTTTACATATTTCATTGACATTAAAAAAGATAACATGCAGAGGTAACAATTTTATCATAAAGAGTGTGACTTAGCTAACAAGAAAGAGAGAACACAATGAAAAAACCCATAATAAAAACATGTTTGCACAGCAAATTCCTTCACCTTAAAACTATAAGTCAATCTAGAAAAGTAAACTTAAAATTTTTAACATATATGACTTTTGGTAATTGACAAAATATACATTCAAACATTCAAATACATAAAAATACCTTTGCATATAAACAAAATATATTTCATTTATCATTCAGATATATTACATTCATCATTCTCACAGATGCAAATTTAAATACACATATAGATATAAATGCATTAGAACAGAATTCTTTAACAACCTAAAAAAGCTGGAAACCGTGGTTAAGCACAAATTTCAAAAAGTTCACATAAAAATGAACATGAGTCCTTTGTGTTAAGTTAATGTGACCACAACACAACTGTGTGTTAAACTACCAAATACCAAAACTCTAACCCTATAGGATTACAGAGACTGGAAAACATAATGTCCCCTGCTGCATGGCATTAAAATATACAATAAAATGCACCTTTCTTATAAAAGGGTGAAACAGTTTACATTGAAAATATATTTAAAGTAATCATTTTTTAAACAAGTATATGATACAAAAAGGAAAAAAAAATACCTTTCACAACATTTCATTACATATCCTTGTTTGTTACACAACTATAAACTTGTTTATACATCAAGATAGGTTTTGATATGAAATAATTTGAGTTTGGATTTATTTCCCTTGGCTGCCATTTTGTAGGGGTAAATGGTTGATTGTGTATTACATTTAGATTAATTGCCAATAGCTTTCTTATTCAAACCTTCACATGAACCTAACATGAGCAACACGACGGGTGCCACCTGTGGAACAGGATCTGCTTACCCTTTCGGAGCACCTGAGATCACCCCCATTTTTGGTGGGGTTTGCGTTGCTCAGTGTTTAGTTTTTTATGTTTGTCTTTTTCTTTTTTAGCCATGGCGTTGTCAGTTAATTTCCACTTATGAGTTTGAATGTCCCTTTGGTATCTTTCGCCTCTCTTTCACCAATGATTGCCATTATTATAAGACCATGATTTTTCTGAAGAAGGAAATGCCTTTAAAGTGGTAGAATATTGGAGCAATTCTCATCAAGATTTTTATATACATGTACATCATCATGACAACAGTTTTCTATTTTGAATTTAGATTGTTCATGGTATGACTGAATGCAACCAATCACTGGATTTAACTTGCCATGAGCAAAACAAGTGGAGCAGAAATAAGCATCCCATTATTCTCTATTCTTTATTATTTATTCCTTTATTCTGTTCTTTTTACCTATTATTCTTTATTCTGTAAACCCCATCCAGACCCTCATCTATAGTGTTCTGCACAGAATTGTGTGGGCTGCTGATTGTCTGTCTTACTTTGAATTTTTGGTATCTTTTTCTGTTTTTATATATAGGTTAACTTAGCATTAATAATTTATATTATGGATTTAGTTTTTAAATTAAGAACAATCACATAATAATAAAATAACTTTGTTTTTATCATGATGTAAAGGCCTAAAATATTAATAAAAAAATCAAAAAGAAAAACAATTTGAAGATCAAATTAAAGACATTTACTTTGAAGCAGCAATTAGTATCAAAGGATGGAAACCCCCATATTAATGTTCAACAAATCCAGTTTCTTGTCAAAATATCTATTAAAATAACATATGAATATTAACTTAATAATTTAATACTGTTGACAGAATAAATAAGGAAACAAGAAAACAAGAACAGAAAATACTTATCAACTGTTAGTTCATATAATATTGTAAATTATCATGAGCATTTATTATTGGGACTCAATGACGACCATTCTAAATGAAGAATTTATCATTTTGATAAAAAAACAAGAATGTGTCCATAGTACATGGATGCCCCACTCGCACTATCATTTTCATGTTCAGTGGACCGTGAAATTGGGGTCAAAACTCTAATTTGGCATAAAAATTAGAAAGATCATATCATAGGGAACATGTGTACTAAGTTTCAAGTTGATTGGACTTCAACTTCATCAAAAACTACCTTGACCAAAAACTTTAACCTGAAAGAAAAAAACTTTAACGTGAAAGACAAAAACTTTAACCTGAAGCGGGAATAGACGGACAGACAGACAGACGAACGAACAGACGCACAGACCGAAATGGGGCATAACTAGCTCTATATTAGAACACTACCAATAAAAATCAAAATGTGTGTTTATATTGATACAATGAGATGAACATACTGACCAACTTTTCACAATCATTGAAACATTGCAATAATTCAAATAAATATAATAGCAATAATTTCTGAATTTACATTATATACTTTGGCACTATTATCCAAACTATAATATGTTTAATTTAGATAATTTACAAATATATACATTTTTCTTATCATAACCACATAAAAAAACTCATTAAATTTGACATACACATCAATTACATTTCGATTAAACAAATATTTAAAATGAACACACTTTACCATTAAAATAACAGAACAAAAAGGAAATCTGTTAAACATTGTAATTCCCAGTGTGGGCATAGAAGTTATCTGACAAATATTTTAGAACTTTAGTGTTTTTTAATCACTGAATTTAAAACGTTAATTTTCTCTAGACATGACCTATTTTTCTTCATAAAATTCCACAAATTGGGACAAGAAAAATAGCTTTTTATAATTTCGTTCTAAGTTATTTTAACTGGACTATTTTCTCTACCTTGAGTAGATTTTTTCATTCAAAATGGTTGCATGAGATGAAATAACTGTAAATAACAAGCCTTTGTGATATGTTTCTTGATATATATTTTAAAATACTGACTCATTAAATATATAATGGATAACAAAAATTGATAAAATTTATTTCATTAAAATAAAAGCACATTTTAAAATCTGATAATAACAAGTATAATTAAATAGTCGCCTGGTAAATACAAATACTCATTCAGGAAAAATAACTCTGTATGTCAAATTAATTCTTGGACCTCTGTCATGATATTCTCTAGGAATTCTATGCTAAAAAAGAAAAAAAAACATTCAATAGATTTCATACACACGACTTAAAATGCTAACACTAATTATTTTTCATTCATCTTAAAACAATAATTCTATGTAATATTCTGTTTGTTCAAACCTTTTTAATATTCTGTCACATATTTTCTATGGATAAAGGAGTGCCCTTATTTGGGCCAAATATTAGTGCAAATTGAAAAGTTATTATACATATTCTTAGATATGTCATAACTACACTTAAGTACAAGGGGTTCAGAAAATAAAAACAAATTTCACATTTATATTTCTTAATTTCATGCATTTTCAAAAATTATGAGCAGATTTGAAATATTTCTCAAAATGATTAATATCTTGGACCAAAACCAGGCCTGAATTCCTATACTCATTAAATCTCTCCATGTACTTACTTGCCAATCTGCCTGTGTTGCCCCTTCCATTATTAACAAAGAACCATGAGTCAAAGGTATTTTGGCATGTTGCATATAGGTGTAGTCATCTGAACCCTATACCATAAAAAGATAAGACACACTTTTTTTAACTTTTTTTTTACAGAAAATTTAACAATAGTACAAATGTAGTATAGCCTGAAACTCAGTCAGTTCAATTATGAGGATCCATAATGATAAAATAATATTTGTAAAGTAAAATTTAGTCAAATAAACATAATTACCACACAGCTATGTTTAAGTTAACAAATTCTGATCATGATTAAAAGAAGAAGTCTGTATTTGTGAGGTGGGATCCTCTTTGTTTGTCCTGAAATCATCTGTTTACACAAGAATAGCAAAATTCGGATGCTAAGAATGAAACATAAAAATGTTTGAAATGGGCAATGACAGTATGAAATAAGGAGATGTGGTATGATTGCCAATAAGACAACTATCAACCAAATTCCAAATGAAGCTTAAGTTGCTAATGTGAATAAATATATACAACTTGATAAAATTAAGGTGGATCATTGGTATATATTTCCTCAGATAGAATTTTCTTATACTTTGCCAGAATGTAGATTTGTTCATGCTGAAATTCAAAAATGTAATAAAAAGTATGGGTCACCATGCTATTTTTCAAGCTACAAGTCGTGCAAAATTGCCCAAATTTGCATAGATTGTTCATGAAAAAACACTTTTTTGTGAATAAAAAGAAATCTAGGAGATAGAATTTTGAAATAAAATATGAGAAGATAGTTTTTAAATATGCTTTATGATAATAAAAAGAAAAAAATGGTGTCACCAATATTGTTTTCTTGCTACAAGTAAAAATTGAAATGTCTATCATTCCTTCATAAAAAATTTACAATTTCCCCTTAAATGGCTAAGTCGAGAATTTGATTTCGAACAAACACAAATATTTGGTATTTGATAAATCAGTCCAAATAATGCAATAAATCACTTATTTTTTCTTTATTTCAATATCAGTCTTATCCATTAATTGCCAATCTGTCTCAAAATTTGCAGATTTAGGCAAAGAACTCATCCTATTGTGAACTGCTATTTAACAATCCAAGATGGTGGTATACAGTTAATCTACCTTAAAGGAACACCACAATATTATACTCATGTTTGATTGGGTACAGAAATGTTCATTTAAAGAGGTTGTAAAACAAACAGTAGATAAACGTTACTCTCAAGAGGTTATATTAAGACAAACTGTTTCAAAAAATGACTATCGATAATGTTAATTGACTTTCAAAAGGTTGTAAGACAAAAGGTTGTAAGACAAAAGGTTGTAAGACAAAAGGTGGCGAAGAATGACTGTCAAGAGGTTGTAGACCAACGATAGTAAAATGACTTTCAAGAAGCAACTTGAGACAATCTATAGCAAAGGATGACTTTCAAGAGGTTGTAAAATAAAGGGTAGTAGATCATTTCTACTCTCCAATAAAATACTGGTAACCCAAGAAAATAGTACTTCATATAACAATGTTTGTTTGTGAAATAACATAAAGCAATCAGCATGATCAAGAAACCTAATAATTTCATATTCATCTATATTAATAAATTGATTGATTGATTGGTGTTTAACGCAACTTTCAATACCATTGTGCTACTTCGTGGCAGTCAGTTTTTATTCGGAGCCGGAGTGGCGAGAGAGAACCACCGACCTTCAGTAGGAAAACTGACAATCATAGTCAATAAAGATTTGAGTTGAGCGCACCTGCCACGTGTGGGATTTGAACTCACAACCTCTGTGTTGACAGGCTAGTGATACAGTACTTGGACTTCTTAGACGACTGGGCTACCGAGGCCCCCCTATATATTAATAAAAGATATACTTACAACAGGAGGTTTCTTTCTCAGCTCAAAATTTCTGCTATCACCAAAAGATAAAGAAGCTATCGTTGGTTCAGGGCCTAATGTCTGCTCATCGTCTGAATGCCAAGCCACTGAATCATGTCCATCACGGTACATGTTAGCTAACATTGAATTGAATTTCAGTCCTGTAACTTCCTCTAATCTGTCCTTTAACATCTTCAAGGTTGAATGCCACTGAAAAGAAAATAATATTTATTATTTCTCAGCATGTTTAACCCTGTGTTGCCTCCTTTCTTACTTTTCCTTTAAATACATTGTATTCTCAACAGACAAATTAAATTTTTTAGGTGTTCTAATCGTCAAAACTTGATAGTTTTTTATTGATAAGATTGAGAATGGAAACGGGGAAAAACTTGCCACATTCATGTTGATACTTGCTTAATGCTCAGTGGCAAGTATTTCTTGCATATTCACCATATTCACCAAGGAAATGTAGGAAGTTTCTGCAAAGTAAGCTAACAGGGATGAAAGGTACAAATTTCGACTGCCACTGGAAAATAAGGGTATGTTGGATAATGGTAGAAATTTTTCCCTTTGCAACAGGTCAACAATGTAGAATTGTTGTTGTATGGGTTCTTTAACTGCAGGGATCATGGTGCTCACCCCACACAAGGCATCAGATATAAGGTCCCCATGCAGACCATAAGTTAGTTCTCCGGATATGACAGACAAGTGGTTAAGTGATGAAATAGGTCCATACAAGAAAACATCAGGTTGTCATGACTATAACAATTTTAAATTTCATTACAAGTTATTTATATTATTTTTGGAAAAATTTAAATTGCAGATTTGTGCTTTCAAAAACGTACTGGTTATGGGAAGTCATATGATATTTTTTTTCTGGGGGGAGGGGGGCTAACTACCTGTTATTAGATCAAGTTATTTGCACTTTACATTTATGTATTACACTGATATCATCAAGTAAAACTAAGTCAGTATAAAATTAAAGACTTTTATCCAGAAAATAAATTCATTTTTAGAATGGCCAAATTATAGATTTGTCAACTTACATGTATCAATGCCAAAAAAAATATTGCATGTCAAGATTACAAAATATTAGTTTGTTGTTGTTTCATGTCAAAGGGCAAATGTTTCATCCATATTCAGGACAAAAAATTCATGTAAGAAATAAAGGTCATGATGACACTAACATATCTGAATAGTGTTTTACTTAACTATATAAACTAAGTGGTAAAATACATTGTATAATTAAAATGTTACCATAAAGTTCTGAGAAATTGAGAAAAATAGAAAACTTGTTTATCAGTGTTAACCCTAGAGCTTTTAAGCATGATAATTATGGTAATGTGATGCCATATTGCTTGAACTAGATGCTATTGGAGATAATTTTCTTATAGATGGGAAGCTATCATTTATAGAAACATGATGGTATTTCAAATTCCCCTTCAACAAGGAAGGTTATATGAAATTTGTGGGGAAAACACTGTGTATGTACATGTATGTATGGAGGCATTTCTACACAACTTGCCACATTCATGTTGAAAAATAAAAATAAATGGAGAATGTGTCCATGGGACAAAGATCCGCTTGCATATAACGTTATAAAGAGACATAACTCAAGAACGGTAAAAGTGACGCTACCCAAATTCATACTTGATCTGAATTTTGTGGTAATATGCATTGTGTATAAGTTTCATAACATTTGGTTGAGGCAAACTTAAGTTAGAGAAAAGAAACGAAAAGTTGAGCAATTTGTCCATTTGTAAAGGGGCATAACTCTTGAACAGTAAAAGTGACGCCACCAAAATTCGAACTTGATCTGTGTTTTGTGGTAATAAGCATTGTATATAAGATTCATAACATTTGGTTGAGGCTAAGTAAAATTAGAGAACAGAAACAAAAAAATCAGCAATTTTTCCATTTTTAAAGGGACAGAACTCTACTTGATCTGAATTTTGTGGTAGTAAGCATTGTGTATAAGTTTCATAACATTTGGTAGAGGCAAACTTAAGTTAGAGAACGGAAACGAAAAGTTCAGCAATTTTTCCATTTTTAAAGGGACATAACTCTAGAAAGGTAAAAGGACGCTACCCAAATTCCTACTTGATCTGTGTTTTGTGGTAAGAAGCATTGTGTATAAATTTCATAACATTTGGTTGAGGCAAACTAAAGTTAGAGAACAGTAACCAATTTATGGGACGTACGGACAGACGAATGTACGGACATACAGACAAGGGTAAAACTTAATGCCCCCTCCGCTACGGCGGGGGCATAAAAATTACAACAGATATGTTACAACCCTAAAAATAAAATCAAAAGAAAAATTAAAGAATTAGTGTTGAAAATTTTATCCAAACAATATGCATTTAATCATAGGAATAATTTTTACCTCTACATTAGCTTCATGTCTCACACCCGAGTAAGAATAAGGAAAATCTCCATACCAAGCTGTTAGTCGTGGCTGCAGGAATGTCTCTCCATTTTTAAAATCTGACCTTTGTCGCCAAGGGACTTCATGATACAAGTCATTGTATATTGCATCAGCCTCAATAGGATCCAGAAAATTCGGAAAGAATCGTATCCTGTATTTATAACATAAATAAAGTTTTACAAAGATATTCAGGCGGGGATCCAGCCATTTTGAAAAGGGGGATTGCTGCAATTGCAACCCCCAGAACACCATGAAATGTTCACATAATTAAAAAAAAAAAGGGGAGGGGGTTTCTAACCTCCCTTAACACCCCCACCAATGATATTCAACATGAAGTGTAATGTTTGTGAGAACAAAACCCTAACCTCATTTGTAAATCATCATTTTCATTAATCAGTTTTAGGATTCTGTGTCCAGAGCGATTTTCTGATTTTGCTGCCAAAAGGGATTACATTTAAACTACTGTGTATAACTAAAAATTCGTAAGGGTTCCGCGGAACCCAGTGTCTCGCCTACTTTTTGCTGTTAATCACAGGCTCAGCAAAAATAAGGAAAAAAATTAATAAAAATATTCCTCTCTATACTATCTTTTGATTGTAAGTAGCTTCTGTCCAAGTTTGGTAAAAATCCAGGATAGTTTATGAATCTAATAAATGTTTTAAAAACTTAAACTGCAGACTGTATGTAATGTTAACTGGAAGAAAAACTAAGTCCATTTATAAGTAAAATACGGAAAAAATGGAACAAAATTTCCTTCTAGATACTAGCTTTTAATCATAAACAAGCTTCTGTCTAAGTTTGGTACAAATCCAGGATAGTTTAAGAAAGTTGTTCAAATTTTAAAAACTTTAACCACAGAGTGAATGTAATGTTAACTGGCAGAAAAACTAAGTCCATTTATAAGTAAAATACGGAAAAAATGGATTTTTTTTTTTACAAAATTTACTTCTGGATACTAGCTTTTAATCATAAACAAGCTTCTGTCCAAGTTTGGTACAAACCCAGGATAGTTTAAGAAAGTTGTTAAAATTTTAAAATCTTTAACCACAGAGTGAATGTAATGTTAACTGGCAGAAAAACTAAGTCCATTTATAAGTAAAATACGGAAAAAATGGAATTTTTTTTTTCAAAATTTACTTCTGGATACTATCTAATGATCATAAACAAGCTTCTTTCCAAGTTTGGTAGAAATCCAGGATAGTTTAAGAAAGTTATTTAAATTTCAAAAACTTTAACCACAGAGTGAATGTAATGTTTCCTGGCAGAAAAACTAAGTCCATTTATTAGTAAAATACGGAAAAAATGGAATTTTCTTTTTACAAAATTTACTTTTGAATATTATCTTATGATCATAAACAAGCTTCTGTCCAAGTTTGGTAGAAATCCAGGATAGTTTAAGAAAGTTATTAAAATTTCAAAAACTTTAACCACAGAGTGAATATTTGTGGACGCCGCCGACGACGACGCCGACGGAATGTAGGATCGCTATGTCTCCCTTTTTCGACAAAAGTCGAAGGCTCGACAAAAATCAAACATGCAGACAAGGGGAAAATTATTGTACAAAATTTTGTATTACTATTAAAATGATTTAAGCTTGATCTTTTTGATGGAAATGGATGAAACTATAGGATATTATATATATCATAGCTAATTAGTGGTAATCAAATTTAGGAAAGAAAGTAACAACACTTTTTTTATAATAAAAATTAATGAATTTAAAAGTAGGATATAATTGCAAGGGTCTGCTTTCTTCTGTTTACATGAGATTAAAAAAGTACAAAATATCTATACCGGTAATATCTTTTATACCTTGATACTCCTGAAGGTTCTGTACTTAGATCACACACACCAGGCTTCCTATAAATAGAAAATTCCAATTCATACAGTTATTTACACTAACTACAGCAATCCTATACAGAATTATTCTTATACTCGTTATTTGAGTCAATAGTGGACATTAGATTTCAACATATCCCATCCATGTATGTGGTCTGGATGGGAGATCTCCATTTTTGTATTCTGATTTAATTTCGTGAGCCATTTTTCTCTCTTCTTTATATATTTTGCCAATTATTCTCTGTTCTTAAAAATTATATTTTAGCTAATAGTTATGATAAAGTGGCATAACAATTTGTAGATCTTTCATCTTCTTTGCATATTCTGACAACATCCAAAAAAATAATTACTTGTAAACGACCAGTAGTTGTTAACTTCTAAGTCATTTGGGTGGAGAGTTGTCTCATTGGATATCAAACCACATCTTCTTATTTTTTAAATTGCACTCCTTTAATATTATTCTTTCAAGAGAGTGCTTTGATTAAATACCTTTATAATATATTGTTAAGTATATGCCATAAGGGATGCTGAAAGTTTATGCTGAACATGGAACTCCTTTCCTCTTAACAACAACAACAAAAATGAAAGATAAACAATTGTTGAGAAAGGAGAAGGTCAGAATGAGGCCCAAATGACCTAAAAAATGTGGTGCACACTTTTAAATAACCCGCTATGCGGGTTATTCAGTTATTATTCACCACATTTCTTATGTTATTTCTTCACAGACAGAAAAAATACTACAGTCATTCATTAAATACAATGTGGTACAATGTATCTATACTTACGTTATAACCTTTTCAACTGGCTTTTGTCTGACTTCCTGTTCATAAAGGAAATCATATTTAATTTTTTAGTACAATGTATCCTGCAAATATGTCACAACATTAAAAAAAAAAATAATGAACTCAAAATCGTTAACTTTTTATTTTTTAACTTTTTTATTTTCCCGCATTTGCGCAGAAATCTCTTTCTTTCTTCCGTTCTCGTTTGTCACGAGACCTTGAGTAATATATATATTTATCAGTCTTAATAAAATATAGGAAGGAGCACATTAACAAATTTTTCATTTTAATTATTCTTTTATATGAAATAAAATGTAACTTGATGAAAGCATTTCTTTGCTTACATTGAAAATGACATCACAACTTAAAGCCCTAACAACAGGACCAAAATCGGAAACGTTTACGAATTACCGTTTCTTTTTCAACAGATTTTAAAGTTAAAACATGCTTGAATTAAAAAAATAATTCATACGGACTTCGTCTTCTTTCCCATGTAACACCTGCATCATATTATTAAGGTGTACATGGAAGAAAAATTCAGAGACAAGACTAGCCTGTGCTTGATGATTTACCAAAATCCTTCGACAGAGCCTAAGTAACAATTAACCTTGCATGTCCCATAGAATTTATTATTGACATGTAAAGTGCTATTTATTTCTCTGTTTTACATTTTGTTAATACCTCTTCAGATTCTTGGAACATGAATTTCTTTTCAGTATGTTGCTGGACTTGATCAACATTTTTTCCCGTCCAAGCTGGAGCTTGAGGAACTTGAGGTTTGTTTCTATCAGATCTGACATTTGATGGTGCAGCCCAACCACCTTGAACTCTAGATCTACGTTTGCGATCTGTATTCATCTCAAATTGTAAGGAATTAAGTGAAAATGTTTATAATTTTTCTGTTTATTTCATCCACCGGATGTATCCATGGGCGCCGCCATTATATATGCAGATAAAATGTTCTTTGAGAATTTACAATACCAGAAACAAAAATAATTAAACTTATATACATACCCAACCGAAATGTTAAAACAGCAGCGCACCAAAACCAAGTACGACTTTTTATAAGGGTCTGGATGGTGGAGGAAACATCTGAATTTCTCTTATTTTTTCAAATTCCCATCTTGAAAAAGGAAAATAAATTCAATGTAAGATTTCAACCCCCTCAACACTTTTCAATGTTTTTATTATTTACAACAAAAATGCATGCATACAATTTTTATGCATATTATTATTATTCGGTAAAATTATGTATCCATTGTGGAAATAAAGCTTTAAGTGGTAAAATTGTTTGTGACTTCAGGGAACTTTATTTAGATCTGGTAGGGTCTCATTGACATATAACACACCTTCGTTCTTCAGCACCTAGCCAAAAATTATGACACAATATATATATATATATATATATATATATATATGATACCTGAATGAAGTGTTAAGACACTTCTGCTGAATAATAAGATACTGATTTAGAGTATTCATATAATTTTTTGCATGTTTGAAATACAGAACTTCTTAAATCTTGTAAAATATTTTCGATCACGGCCCTCCATCTGAAGTCGAAAATTTGAATATCACCACTTTTCCATTACCAAAAATTTTCAAGGCCCTCTTAATTTCCTCTCATCCATAATTTCAGGTTACCATTAAATGGCCAGTCCCTCAACCCATCAAGTTGGCTAGGAATATATGTTGAAAATAAATCTGTACAGATAAAAGATCTTGTATGAGTGCCAATGAGACAACTCTCCATCCAAGTCACAATGTATAAAAAGTTAAAATTATAGGTCAAAGTACGGCCTTCAACGCGGAGCCTGGGCTCACACCGAACAGCAAGCTATAAAGGGCCCCAAAATGACTAGTGTAAAACAATTCAAACAGGAAAACCAACGGTCAAATCTATATAAAAAACGAGAAACACATACGAACCACAAAAAAAAAAAACCCACAACCAATGAACAACAGGCTCCTGACTTAGGACAGGTGCATAAAAATGCAGCGGGTTTAAACGTTTTAACAGGCGCCAACCTTCACTAAAATGAGACAGTAGTGTAACATTACAACATAAAAAGACACACTATAAAATATCAATTGAAATGGCTTAACTCGACCAAAAAGACATTTAAACAAAAACAAGTAAACATACACTGAACGAATAAATTTTATCTGTGACACAATATAAATACAATATTAAAACGTAGGTGCCTATGTAACATAGACGTTACAGGTAGTAATAAAAAAGATGTAGGCAGAGTGTTAATAAGACAACTTTTACCTGGAACAAAATGGCGTTAAATAAAACAACGTACACAGGTAAATTTGAATATAATAATTTTGTTGTAAGGAGTACGGAACTGTTTACTTGGGAAAGCAAAGTCAAACAGCAAGAAAGTTGCATTTGAATCTCTATTCTGGATTTTACCTATCAATCGAATCATTCAGTATAGCATTTTAACTCTTACCATTGCAAACCCGTACCAACTTACCAAACTGACAAGAAGGCCTTATGGACTGTGTCAACGTATATTTGTTCCACCTTACGGAAGTCCCTGAAAAATTTGTTATAAACAATGCCATAATTGTTGTTCCAGTTGGAACGAATATTCGATACTCTTTATTCCTTTCGAAACAAATACTGTAATGTTTGTTCCAGTAGAAATAATATTCACACAGATTATTTGTTCCGTTTAATATTATGAAGGATTTTTTATTTTATGACAATTGGACACTTCTAGTAAAGTCAGAGGTCAAAAGTGTTTCACCATTGAAAATTCCACTTTATATTCCATATAAACATATTTTTGATGATAATTCTACCTATTAGTAAGCTTTTTTTGTCAAAATGGAATGCAATATTTCCATTAAGTACAAAATTGTCTGTGGTTTCTTGCAGTAACTATGAAAAATAGTAAAGGTTCATACTTTTAAGATGATCAATGTTTTCGATACACTGAGAACAAACATGAATTTCTGCATGAAAATATATATGACTATAAAGGAAACAATTACACTTAATTTATGTTTCTCAGTAACGACATTTCATAAAATCACTCCACAATGACCATAAAAAATACACACTATTGAGTGAAACGGTAAAATTTTTATGAAAAAATCAGACATAAAAATATTTTTTTTACTATCTTTAAAAAAAATGTGTTTTTATATGAATTTCCAAGTGGCGAAACACTTTTAACCTAAATCTGTAGTATGCAAGTTTTGACACGAGTTAATAATGATACGAGCTAACTTGTTTCCCAATTCGAGTGCGCTTAGTTCAACAAAAAGGTGCGAAAGATACCAAACGGATAATTAAAACTCGTAAACCAAAGAAAGATCTACAATATAGTATTTCATTTTTACCGTCCCGAACATGCATGAAATATTTGCCATTGGACGTTAAGCAACAAACAATTTATTAATCATATTTGGTTTGTCCTCCCAACTGCTTTGACTCAAGCACCATTGATGAGTTTGATGTGGTATCTTTGATCAGTTGTTACCATAATATCGTGGGGAAAAAAGCGACATTCTATTTGTCCAAGGTTTAGTTGTCTTTTTGACATTGTTCCTACATCTATTTTATTAATATTGTATCTATATTGTGTCATAGATCAAACTTATTCGTTTAGTGTATGTTTACTTGTTTTTGTTTTAATGTGTTTTTGATCGAGTTAAGTCATTTCAATTGATATTTTATAGTGTGTCTTTTTATGTTGTAATGTTACACTACTGTATCAGGTTAGGGTGAAGGTTGGTGCCTGTTAAAACGTTTAAACCCGCTGCATTTGTATGCACCTGTCCTAAGTCAGGGGCCTGTTGTTCATTGGTTGTCGTTTGTTGGTGTGGTTCATAGGTGTTTCTCGTTTTTCGTTTTTATATATAGATTAGACCGTTGGTTTATCTGTTTGAATTGTTTTACACTAGTCATTTAGCGGCCCTTTATAGCTAGCTGTTCGGTGTGAGCCAAGGCTCAATGTTGAAGGCCGTACTTTGACCTATAATTGTTACATTTTTTATACATTGTGACTTGGATGGAGAGTTGTCTCATTGGTACTCATACCACATCTTCTTATTTATATGAACAACCCGAACTCTACCAAAAACTTGGAATACTCTCAAGTGCTCTGTAAGGTTCAGCTCAACTAGTGGCCCCCGTCGTGTTGCTCGTGGTAAGTACAAAATCGATGATAATTCTCATTCGGTGATGTCGCAATCGAGGAAAAGACGACGCGATTGTGGTTACAACTACTGAAACATATCTGTGGTCATCTATGACACAAATATTTTATAACAGTCTACCAACTCGTGATGGCGTTCGTAAAACTTTCGAGGGATGACTTCAACTTTACCACTCAAACCCCTTGGTTGAATAGCTTCCTTGTAGGCCCTCTATCAAGTAATTCATAATGGGAAACTCAAACTCTGTATCAACTGGGAGATATATACTCCATTGCTGTACATTTTGCCTATCAAAGTCATACTGCCTTAAAAGTATCGTTTTTGTCCAGAATAAAAAAGACAAACTTTCCTTAAACGACACAATATTATTTGAAAAACAGTTTTTGTCATCCAAGCTCTCGTGTTCTAAAATTGTTAAGTAATATTTCATCAGATCCATCTTGTCGCTGTGGATTTCCCCGCGAAGGTTCTAATCATTTCTTCTTTAAATGTCCTTTATATACACATTTACGCAGATTCTTAGTCTCAGTTGGTTACCAGATGACCTTTTGTTGTATCTAGAGATTTTAACATATGGTAGTACAAATCTGACAAATGAGCAAAATGAAGAAATATGTAGAAATGTTTTTGATAATATAAAAAAGACCCAAAGGTTCCTTGTTTAATCATGTGTATAAGCTGAATGTAGTGATCCACACACACACACATACATATTTTCCCCCCTTCTTCCCATCTTTCTTTTTTCTATACTGTTTCTTAATATGTCATTTAAATTACAGATGTTTGATTATATATTGTGTAATAATAAATTTGATATTTACATGCTGTGAAATACTATTGGCTATTATTATACCTCAGTATGTATTCTCTTTATAAAATTTTAAACGAAAAAAGTAACTATTTTGTGTGAAAACAGTTTTTTACGGGAAATTTTCCCGTACTTTCTGTGTCGTTTGAATTGACTCGTCTCACGAAATTTCCGAGTGATTGTTTATACTGCAACTATTCCATTTACGCAGTCAAATTTTTATGACGTGAATACAGAATATAGCTTCATGTAAGTTTTACATCGTCCGCTTCAAATTAAAAAATGATGGGTTAATCAAAATATTTCATTTTGAACAGTTGTAAGAGCTGAGACTATTATACTAACGTCAATATATTATGTCCCAGGTTAGAGTAATATTCTAATATGACGTTCTTCAAACACTTTGAGTACACACCCGTGGTACAATTTTAATATATTCATATGTCCGCTGATAAGCAACGTCATGATTTGTTTGGGCTGTTCTAATCCTACTCCCACGTCGTATGCTTTTTATGAATGATTTACCTCACGTCAGATGGTGTAAATGACGTCGTTTAAAAACGATGACGTAAGAATGTAAGGATTTTACAGGGAAATGCACGTATAAGAAACTGAAGGTAGTCAAAACATGAAAACATAAACAAACGATGGTAAGAATTTGTATAATGTCCATATCTTCTTAAATGAAAGTAAGATAGTCAATTAAATTCAACCAAATCTGTCTTAGTATGTTATATTATATAGTTTAAAAATGTCACTTTATTCAATTTTTTTCGTCGTTTACGTCAATGTTAATAGTGTGTTCAATAACGGGAACAGCAAACATTTCCTTTCACAAAGAGCGCTTCGATCCAAAAGAATTGCTGTCTTTGTCCTATTAGAATAGAAATAATGTATGGGTGCTTGAACTTATATTGATTTTACCACGGGTTGGCCCAATATACTGATA